ACAATATTCCAGATGTGGTCTAACCAAAACTGAATAGAGGGGTAGCATTACTTCCCTAGATCTAGACACTATTGATGCAGGCCAAAATTCCATTGGCTTTTTTTGCCGCCACATCACATTGTTGGATCATGTTTAACTTGTTGTCCACGAGGACTCCAAGATCTTTTTCACACGTACTGCTCTCGAGCCAGGCGTCACCCATTCTGTATCTTTGCATTTCATTTTTTCTGCCAAAGTGGAGTATCTTGCATTTGTCACTGTTGAACTTCATTTTGTTAGTTTTGGCCCATCTCTCTAATCTGTCAAGATCGTTTTGAATTCTGCTCCTGTCCTCTGGACTATTGGCTATCCCTCCCAATTTGGTGTCGTCTGCAAACTTGATGATCATGCCTTCTAGCCCTTCATCTAAGTCATTAATAAAGATGTTGAACAGGACTGGGCCCAGGACGGAACCCTGCGGCACTCCACTTGTCGCTTCTTTCCAAGATGAAGAGGAAGCATCTCAGTGGATTTGAAACATATATATGTGGATGTCTCATTGTAGTCTCGTTGAAAATACTATATATCCAAAAGTATTTTCAAATTCATATATGATTGGATATGAATGTAGAAATCAAATTCATTTCGGTGTACTGCTTGTGAGATGCTCATATTTGCAATAGCGACAAAACATAATTGTAGAAAAGCTCTCAGCAAACATGCTCTAGGGATTCTTTTTTCCCTATTCTGTTTTCCGATAATTTCAAAAGCCTGTGTTCTGGTATCTGAAATGCAAAAATGGTCCAGTATGCAGAGTTCTGGACACTCTCCCACCCAATTTCAGAGGCATTTCAGCTACAAACTACATTAATATTGATTCTACCCTGTAAGTCTCTGGGAGCAGACACAAGAATAAGGTAGAATGGGGAAAACAATGGGGGCTTCATAATTGCTGGAACTGCTATCTTTCTTCTTGGAAGCTCACTGAGAAACAAATGGAATTAATAGGATTGTCTTGTAGTGTGGATTGCCAGATCATCCATTAGCAGTAATTCTTCGGGGCTTTTCTTTGGATTATTAAATGTTTCAAGGGAATAGTGAATGACCTGCAATCAAGCCACTTAACAGCTGCAGTGTTCACATGACACTTGCCAAAAGCCAGAAATGAATGTGTGTTATTCCCACCAAATGCATAATTGCATCCAAGTGATTCTAGTTTTGCCATGAACTTTGGTAACTCCCCTAATTATTTTAATACAGCCCATACTTTGATTCCTAATCTTCAATACATTAATCACTCCTCTAACAAAGTGGGGTGTAGACATCCTGTGATGATGCAACATGTCTCATTACGAGCCACATCCACTGTTTTAACATAGTACAATGTATTCCACACAGGGACGGCTCAACCCATTACGCAAAGTAAGCATTTGCAGTATAGTTGATTTTGCCCAGGGGTGCTCTTGAGGTGCTCTTGGGGGAAAATAGACCTTGACATATGCGAGTTGTAGTTACTGGGATGTATAGTTCACCTACAATCAAAGAGCATTCTGAACTCCTCCAATGATGGAATTGAACCAAATATGGCACACAGAACTCCCACGACGAACAGAAAATATATATCAGTAGGTTGTTGTAGGTTTTTTCGGGCTATATGGCCATGTTATAGAGGCATTTTCTCCTGACGTTTTGCCTGTATCTTTGGCAAGCATCCTCAGAGGTAGTGAGGTCTATTGGAACTAGAAAACTGGGTTTATATATCTGTGGAATGACCAGCGTGGGGCAAAGAACTCTTGTCTAACGGGTTACTAACGGGTGCTGGGTACAGGGAGCACACCACTCCGCTGTTACACCAGCTCCACTGGCTGCCAGTTAGCTTCCGAGCACAATTCAAAGTGCTGGTGTTAACCTATAAAGCCCTAAATGACTCCGGCCCTGTTTACCTCTCCGAACGTATTCTCCCCTACACACCATCAAGATTACTAAGATCGTCTGGTGAGGCCCTGCTCTCGGTCCCACCGGCCTCACAAGTGCGTCTGGTGGGGACGAGGGACAGGGCCTTCTCAGTGGTGGCCCCACAACTCTGGAACTCTCTCCCACTGGAGGTCAGAACCGCCCCGTCTATCCTGACATGCAGGAAATGGGTGAAGACGTGGTTATGGAGACAGGTTTTCGGTGAATGAGACAACACCCTAGGATTTTGGATGGAAGATGAGGTATACTTGTTTTTAATATGACAACTGACCACCGTAGTTTTAAATATATTTGTTATTTTAAATGTGTTATTGCAATTATGAATTATGATATTTTACTGATTGTATGTTTTTATGGTTGTAAACCGGTCTGTGTCCCTCAAAGAGGTGTGAAGCTCGGTATAGAAAACTTTGAAATAGATAAATAAATAAAATTGTCTGATGGAGCTAGGTGTGAATTTTTCAGCTGACCACCTTGATTGGCATTTGACGGCCTGGCTGTGCCTGGGGAATCTTTTGTTGAGAGGTGATTAGATGTGCCTGATTGTGCCTGATGAAAGCCTTCAACAATACAATATATATCAGTGATTGGTTGGGGGGGGGGGCACCAAAATACTGTTTGCTTACCGTTGAAAATTACCTAGGGTAATTCCACACTGGGCATGTATATTGAGCAGCAGAGTAGCAAAGCGCAAGGCAGCCATTATGACAAGTAGCCACTGATGATTTTCCGGACTAAATTTTCTCTATTTAACATCTCTTGGACCATCTGTTTCCATACATAACCAGGCTGGGAGTGCAATGAAGTCATAATTGCAACTGCTCCAGCCAGCTATCATTAAACCTAGTGGCAATGTGCATTTGTATACCAGGTGATAAATGGGAAGAACACGTCTTCATCTTGACTTACTAAAAGAGAAAGAAACAGCTGAAAATATACCCTTTGCTCAGCTGAAGGTACAAATAGACTCCTGCTGAGTTTGTAATTTACTGAATGGAGATAATTAATGTTTAAAGGAAATCTGAACTCCACTGTTGTAAATCTATCCAGTCTCTGTAATCACAGCACTCATTCAGCACAGCCTATTTCTGCTCCCTCCCATAGTCTAGTTATATTGATTAGTTACAAGCAGACAGCCCTGCATTCACAACATTCCATTGAATAACCTTATAGACAAAATGGTATAGCAGTTACACTGTACTACTAGTGCCAACCAACACAGGAGCATTTCATACACATTCTCAAGCTATTTATTTATTTATTTATTTCAAAGTTTTCTATACCGAGCTTCTCGCCTCTTAGAGGGACTCAGCCCGGTTTACAACCATAAAAACATACAATCA